GAACATTTTCTAAGAGACAAGTCTCTCTGAGAGACAGGGTTTGGAAAACACTCGCTTCAGTGGGAGGAACCTTCCTGCATGCGCTCTGGTTCTGCGACGCGCTCCAAGCCAATCTCCACAACTTCAGCTCGCTGTGCACATATGCGCTGACAGTGAGCTGCGCTGAGCAGCTCAGATGTTCAGATGGGAATCTTTTCTTGGGTGATTTAGCTACATCTGCGATGTGTGTAACGAATAAAATGTCAGTTCGTCTGCATGCGTCGGGGTAATTCTTTCTATTCTTTCTCCGTCAAAATAAACCGTCAAATATGGGAACTATCCGGTCAACACAAGCCCTGCTTTTAACTGTTCTGTTTTCTTGTGAAAATTGTTGCAAAGAGATAAAATTTAACTTGATTACCACCAGAGCCAGTGCGCCGTTATCTCCGTGACAGTAAACGAGGGAAAAACAAATTGATCGGATCCTGCACGTCTTTTAACACATTGGTCAGGATTGACGCACTTTGTTTTCATTTAGTTGGTTAAAAAAAGTCGGGCTCAGGCTCGGGCCGGGCCAGAGAATCCTGAAAACCTTTTCGGGCCGGGTCGGGCTGGGGCTCCACCCCCTCGGGCCGGGCCGGACACGGGCTCAGATTTTAGGCCCGTGCAGGGCTCTAACCTGCCGACTCCGATCTGGAGCGGGAGCTTCATTCACCTGGACCAGCAAAATGGACCAGAACCAACAAGGCACCCAAGTAAGTTACGTTTCAAGGCTAGTAGCTGCAGTTTGTTTTATACAATTCTGTTTTGTTATGCTACTTCTTATGACTCCTCGCATTTGATATTACAGCAGGAGCACATAGCTAGGTGGATTAGCCTATTCTCACGATAGCTACACGTTCATAAAACCACCAGATCTGAGTTTCACCCTCGTATCACTCGTGCACTATGCTAGCTGTGGACCAAGCGTAGATGTTTTTGTTTAGCATTCCCACCTTCGTTTTTAATGGTTAGCTCTTTGAACGTTAATCCGGTGTAATGCTATGAGTTGTTTACTCCATGAACATTTTCCACGTCTAAGTGCACGACTGCTAACTATCAAAATGTGTTTCATCACGATGTTTTTCTAGCGCTGTAATGAACAAAATGGAACATTTATGTTTCAGCGAGCCTTTTCACCATGACTGATTTGGACTCTAATGTGGCTCTGACACAGAGGAAACTTTAAATGTTTATAATTCTACTTCTGATGGACCAGAACCATAAAGTTATGAGTTTGCTGCACGCCCCCCGAGAGCAGAGACAAACCAGAGGAGAAACGGGGGAGCAGCAGGTGAGTTAACTCGTGTGCTAGCATCACACTATTGTACAGATTACTATCACGTACCTGACAGTTAAAATAGTATCGGTCAGTTAATATAATATTAATACTAATGAGCGTTTGTCAGCTGTCTCATACTCGTTAATATCCATTCACAGCGCTTGGAGAGAGGGAGAGAGACGCTTGTCATCCGGTTCAGGAGCTCATGTAGGCTTCTGTGAGCTGGATCCGACCCAGACACCAGCAAGCCAGTCCAGCTGGGATTTTTAAAAGCCACGCATCCTCTCCTGGCGCAGTGATCTGAGCTCCAGAAATCTGCATTTAATTTTTTAAACCCCTCCACGGGTCTCCGGAGCCCAGCGTGGACCTCCTTGTCACGGTACCGAACAACATGGGCTACAGGAGTCTGTCTTTTCAGCTGCACAAAACACCCTCAGGCACAGAGATAGAGGCGTTGTTTCTCTTATCTGGAAACCCGTGGACTCGATGTCCAGACAGGCTGGAGTTGGTACAGCCTTCACACACTATAGTTTATCAACATGAACACAATCCAACACTAGTAAACACACACACTGACTGGATAACATGATGACCTCTCTACCCTAAAACTACCCACTCTCCACACTGAGCTTGTAGAAGCCAAAACTGTGTACGTGAGGTTTAACATCCTGTTTTTCAGTAGGAGCCAAGATGTGTTACATAATTTCCAGTAAGACTAACAAAATCAGGAGTGTTTACCGGACGCCAGCGCCAGATGGTCCTTGTCTTGTTGCATGGGAAAGTCTCCCCAAACAGTTTCCAGTTCATGTGTACGTGAGGCCCGTTTTCTGAGATATGCAGGAGTGACGTCAGCAAAGAGTATAACTAAAATGCATTCATGGTGTAAACAGAGCTTTCTGGAAGATTACAGCCGGAGGCTCGTTGCGTCCTGGCTGAACACTGTCCCAAAGTTACTGGTGATGTATTGCTGAACTGTACAAATAAAAAGCCCCACGCTGTAAGGACAAAGTTGTCTCATTCTCTTGTGTTTTGATAAGGAAAAGAACCACATTCTGGCACCCCAGAATGGGGAGTAGAGACCTGCTCTTCGATCGCTCCGCAGTCCAAGGACATGACTCCTGGGCCCAGAGGTAAGAACAATTTTTTTCAATTTTATAAAGGGCCGCTACCATTTACTTAACATGACATCTTATAACATCTTATAACACCGGTCACATCTGGGTTCATCTAGCAGAACTTCTAGAGTTAGCAGGTGATGCTCCCGAAGCTCGCTGCTTCTGCCTCCCAGATGTCACCTCATGGTCAGTCGTGTGTTGGCACGACCTGCAGGAACATTGTTCTCTAGATTCATAAACATCTCTGGGTTCATGATCTAAATGATGAATGACCCACTCTTGTAGGGCACCTTTCAGAGTCAGAGGACTCCAAAGCGCTTTACCGTGTAGCCACAGCTGGCCTGGGGCGCACTGACAGAGGTAAGGCTGCCGAGCACAGGCACCTCTGGCCCCTCCGACGACCAGCAGCAGGCAAGGTGAGTTAAGTGTCTTGCCCAAGGACGCAACATCAGCATTCTGTGGTCAGAGCCGGGATCGAACCTGCAACTTCCCAATTACTGGACAACCCGCTCAACCTGTTGAGCTACTGCTGCCCTAAACTTTACTTTTACATTAATCTTTGCAGCTCTTTTATTTTCTGGGGCACATTTATGTTATCACCATGACTGATCATTTTCTGTTTTTCCTGTTTATGTGACGAGTCGGCCGTAACCGTTCAGGTGTGCAGGCTGCAGGAGGGTGCTGTGCCCCTCCCCTGCCAGGTTAAAGTCTCGTCCATGCTGAAAATCACTTTGAAATAAACCAATAGCAAACAAAGCCGTGAGGTTGCATGTAGAAGTGGGTAATGGGTAATTTTCCAGATTCAGCAGGAATGAAATGATTGCTTCCCTCATGTTGTTCTCGTCAGAAGAGAAGTGTATCTCTTTACAAAAACGGAGTTTAGTTTTATCTGTGACAGAAGAAGTTGGTTTAAAGTGAGGCTTCATGTTTATACAATGTTAAATGTGTTTACATAATTAATAAAGTTTTTACCTTTTATCCTAATTCACTCGTTACAACAGATGAGTGTGATTTTGTCTCTAGGGGCTAAAAGTGTTGATAAGTAGTGTGTACTACCATGTTAGTTTGAATAAGTTGTTTTATTTTTGTGATCATATATTGCCGGTTGCTGAGGTGCAGCAAGGAGCGCCAAACTCGGCGTGGTCTCATCGGCCCGACCTAGAGGTACCGGGCCTGGCAATGCCGAACCCGCTGTGGTTATATCAGCCGGCCCAGCGGCACTGGACCTGGCGTGGTTCCATCCGCCTGGCCCGGCAGCGCCGAACTTGGCGTGGTTACGCCGGCCCAGCCCAGCTTGATGTGGTTCTATCGGCCCGACCCAGCGGTACCAGGCCCGGCGTGGTTCCATCCGCCTGGCCCGGCAGCGCCGAACCCGGCCCAGCCCAGCGGCACCGAGCCTGATGTGGTTCTTTTGGCCAGGCCCAGCGGTACCGAGCCCGGCGCGGTTCCATCAGCTCGACCTAGCAGCGCCGAACCCGGCATAGTTCGGCCGACTGGACTACACCGACTCCGGAGGGGTCCTGCTGAGCCAGGCCAAACAACATTCATCGCATTGCGGTGAGCACGGGACCAAAGGACGACAGCTGCAGATAAGTGGAAGAGATGCCAGGAGGAAGAGCCGGTGGACGAGGTAAAGAAATGGCCACAGAAGACCTGGAGGAAATCAAACGATCTCTGAACTTTATGTCAGGTGAACTGTCAAAAGTAACATCACAGCAGGATCGGTTATTGAGACTGATGGAGGAGGAGAAAGAGCTTAAAATACTGTTAACTGAAATCTCATTGTTACATTAAATACCGAAGTCTTTATTCTTCTTTCACTTGAACAGAACAATTGAAATTTGAGCCTTTTTTGCATCTACATTTTAAAATGATCCATCCATCCATGTTAATCCACTTATCAAGAGTCGGGTCGCGGGGGCAGCAGCCTAAGGCGAGAGGCCCAGACTTCCCTCTCCCCAGCCACTGGGCCAGCTCCTCCGGGGGAATCCCAAGGTGTTCCCTGGCCAGGTGAGAGACATAGTCCCTCCAACATGTCCTGGGTCTTCCTTTAGGCCTCCTCCCGGTTGGAAGTGCCTGGAAAACCTCACCAGGGAGGCATCCTGACCAGATGCCCGAGCCACCTCAACTGGCTCCTCTCGAGCCAATTATAATTATAATGATTTTTATTAATAACTGATCATATTTTACATTAAATTTAGATTGTGTGGCTCAAATTTGATGTTTTTATTTAACAAATAGTTTTTTGATCAAAACAAAACTCTGAAACAGTCAACATAAAAGAAATAAAAACCTGCTTCAGGTCAGCAGACTGTCGCTGTCATGTGACCAAAGCTAAGCTAACGATTCAGTATGTGTGTAAAAAGTCTGTCTGGCCAAAATAATTCATTAGTTTTAATCATTTTGAACACCATGACACCGACAACGTCCACATGATGATCGTAACGTGGAGCAGAAAGCTGAAGAGCAGATGTAGCTAACTGTTGAAGGCACACAGGATAACCCACAGACGTGTACGTAGACGCCTTGTGGACTGTCGCTGTCTATTGGAGCTGCTGCAGTGGCTGGCTGCCATTTTAGATGGGTCTCCATTTGCTCCCAGTGCATTCATTTCTACTGAGGAAGGTGTTTACCCAACTAAAACACACACAGAAACGGGCGTAGTTGTGCACTCTGCATCTCTTTTTACAGTCACTGCTCTGCATTGACTTTGGAGAGGAGGAGACCCATCCAAAATGGTGGTGAAGCTGTTCCAGTGCCCAATTGGGCGTCTACGTGTTCTATCTATGGGATAATCCGCTTTAAAGTCGAGCGAACCCCAAGATGTTTTTCACCGCCCGGTTTCATACAGTTCTCCTATTGGCTGAGTGGTTGCTAGGAGATTATACTTCCAAGTTTTGAGAGAGCAGAAAAAATCCGTGAGAGCAGGGAGCAGACTTGTGGGAGCAATTTTGATCCATGCAGAGAAAAAGTTTTCACGTGAGAAGACAATACCAGTGTAAGAAGGTTAAAATCTGAGCGCAGAAACAAAGATTTGATGGAAAACAGAGTGTATTTGAAGGAGAGCAGACATTTTGAGTGCAAGCATTACAAGTTTTGAGAGCAATAGTATAAGATCTTATTCTCAAATTAAAAAGTTGGTCTCTTGATATGAAATTCTGCTCTCAAATAGAAAATTCAAGTGCTCAATTTGAGGCATTTTAATTCTTCCACACAGTCCTGCTTACCTGATAGCCAAGCGTTTATAAACAGGACACCCACCGCTATGTTGTACTTCAGCCCATACAGAGTGACCCCTCCCTACAGAAATACACCTGAAGTTAACTTAAAGGGTGCTGAAGAATTAGTTGGAACACTTTTATTAACCCCCCACCCCATCACTGACCAAGGGCATGGAGAGGAGATCTTTAGGAGTCACGCTGACATCCTCTCGAAGCCTGTGAAGCTGGTTGTCACCATCGGTGTGAACCTGAAAGAGCTAAAGAAGAAGACTCCGTTTTTAGCGACATGTCAGGAAAGTACAACTCTCCTGATGAAGTGCTTACTTCTTGCATGGGTTTAATCAGATTCAGGTCATACACCATGAAACCATCCACACCTGCACTGATTTCCAACATCTTCTGCCTAACAAAAACAAAAAGATGCAAAGTCTGAGGATATTCTTGAAATGTGCAAAGGCACCGTTGCGTTGGTCCAGTGGCAATTGTCAGACATGTTGACCGACCTCTTCTCTAAACTTGCAAACATTTTGCCTTTAAAGAAACTTCACAAGAACCACAGACTATGGATGGTCTGTTGAGTCTGTGAAATGGACTTTTACAGTGATCCATCAGAGATCGTGTCTGATTTCTGCAGCAAAACGTTCTTCCAAGCGTTCTTGTTCACCTGGACATCAGAAGCATTTAACCCTTATGTGCTCCTTGCAGATTTTTTGTGCACAAGGAGAAGAAACACTATAACAACTAACGGAATAAGGGATGATATACTAAAGGAAGCTGATTTGTTATTAATGTAACGTTTGTGCAGCACTAAAGCACCAGACAGAAAGCCATTTTGCTCCTATCAGTGGTTTATTAAAGCAGTTGGGATAATGCTACTTCTGTCTCTTTGAACATTTTAATCACAGAACCAAAGCACATCTTAAAGGAGCAGTAACAGCAATCATCACATGGACCTGGACCTGTCAGGATGCTTACCACTGGCTCACCACTAGGTTGCCTGCTCAGCCCTCTCTCGTTCTCCGTCTACACCCATGGCTGCATCTCATCCCCTTGTTGTGGCTCACCACTTAGTAGAATGGTGTGACAACAACATCCTGACTCTTAGAATCAACAGGACCAAAGAGGTGGTAGTGGACGTACGCAAGCATAAAACTTCTCTGCCCACCGTTTTCCATCCAGCGCCACGGGGACTGACGTCCGAGGGCTGTGGCTGGATTCCTCTGCTTGTGTCCGTCTGCCTGCAAGGCAGCATTTGTGACAGATGTCACTGTGGTCTAGGCACCAACTATTACCGGCCCTAGCTACATAAAGGTAGCAACCAGCCTCCCCTCCTAGCGCTGGAACGCTAACCACCTGTGTAGCCATCTTTGTCACCGGCAGTCCTAACTGACTGCGATTGACCCCACCCCCTAAAACAGGTCGACCACACGCCCTCGTGTAGACCTGCTGTCCTTTTATCATTTCTGACGTCATGTCCGGTCTCCACGCCCCCGGGTCTGCCTCCCACTTTACATCCCTTACAGTACATTCATGTGTATTAATATGTGTAGGTATGTTCTTAAGAAAACAATAAACAGATGTTTGGAAAAACAAAAATGCTAAACATCAAGGAAGGTGCCACTTGACCATCTGGTGAGATGATGGGAGCATCTTTTGGGTCATTCACACCTTTTGACTGAAGCTAACACTCTGGTGTAGGAGTCTGTGTGCAGCCTGCCAGGCAACATGAGAGCAGCCATGCCTCCTGTGGCCAGCGCCCCGCGGCGATGGCACGTCTGAACCAACAAGTCCATGTAGCTGCGCAGAAAATGCTTCTCCATGTTGACGTATTTACTGCGGTCAGGCAAAAGGAAGTCCTCACGGTGACCTAGGAGCAAAAAGTGACCCAAAAGCTGAATTATTCAGTAAAACGTGAACTGTAAATGACAGGCAGCTCAAACGTTCATCTTACCAAACTTGTTGACAAAGGAGGCTGAATAGTCCCAGATCCCACAGTTGAGTCCTGCTGAATGTTCTCGCAGCTCATAGAGAATCTCCTCCATCTCAAACGCTGCGAAGACATTTTCTATCAGAACCGTTGCCTTGATGCTGCCGAGTGGAAGGCCCAGCTAGACACACACACACACACACACACACACACACACACACACACACACACACACACACACACACACACATACACACACACACACACACACACACACACACACACACACACACACACACACACACACACACACACACACACACACACACACACACACACACACACACACACACACACACACAAACACCTGTATGAACACGGAACCGGTTCACTGTCAGCTGGGCTGAGCACCGTCAAGCCAACCTGACCATCACAGCTACACTTTAAAAGTGCAGGAAGTAAAAATCACATTTTATGGTCACATTTGTGTACTGCTATCCTGGTGAACTAGACCAAGTTCTTGCTTTGCAAAGTTTGGTCTAGGAACGCTCCATTGGAACCTCCGCAGCCCCTAGCAGCAGTCTGGCTAGCCAATCACAGCTCTCTAGCTCATTAACTGCCGAAGTTGTCATTTGCATTTTTTTTACTGTGTGGCCGTCGGAACGAGCCCCCGCACCGTGAGAACAAACATCTCAGCTCTAAAGCCGATCTACATCCGCGTACGTCACACGTCATGTGATCAGGAAGCAGAAAATCCATGTGTTAGGAGATCGTTTTGGGCCGCTGCTGTAAAAAAGTGACCGGAAAAGCTTCTGCCGATCACAATTCCACAACGCATTATGAAAGAACAGATAACGCTAGAAACGCACGGCTTCTTCCTGATGTAAGAGGTGAGTCTACTCTTTGTTTTGGTAGTTTTGGTGTTGACATCATCCTAGCGCGCAACATTCTGTGACTCTTAAAAAACGGTGAAAACGCTGAAAAATGCTGGTAGCGAAGGGCTTTACTGGACTGGAAACAGCAGTGAATGAGTTAAAGTGGTTTCAAACACATAGAGAGCTGTGATTGGTCCATAATGGTGGGCCAATCACAGCGCTCTATCTACTTTGTGAACCAGTCACAGCACTTTATCCTCTTTGTGGGCCAATCAAGGCCCTCTATCCGTCTGGTGGATAGGATGATGCAACTGAGTGGAACAAGATGGCGACAACTTGTTTGAAACGGCTTTTACATCATTTTGGACTATTAGGACTTGGGCTGTATTAGAATCAGGAGCAGAGAGATGTATTTAAGTCCTTTATTTAGAAAAAGGATTTATTTTCACCTTCTTCAACAGTCGACCGCCTCGTTTACCGACATCCGTTGCGGTGACTACGTCACGTTCATTGTCCAGTAGCATGTGAAGATCTTTGAAAGACAACGGTAGAACCCAACCCACGACTGAGAGCCGTCAATGGAGCGTTGCCAGACTAAAAAATATATTTATTTACTAAATATATTTAGTAAATATATTGTAACAAATTTTTCTAGTCTGGCTTGCCAGGCTGGGGTACTAACCTCCCAGCGTACTGCGAGGGAACTCTGCTTCACTGTAACCTTCCTTCCAACATGACTGAGACAATAGACTGTTTTGTGGTTATTTCACAGTAGAATTTTTACCTATTGTCTTTTTAAAGGTGTGGAACACTAAAGCATTTCTGAAAGATTATGTCTGATTCTAAAGGGTCACTCTGAGTTTTTCATGCGGGCTGAACATGAAAATAGTCTCCTACAACTAGCATTAGCATTAGCTTCTGATAGAAACTAGATGGTGAAACTCTAGGATTACATAATTCTGACAGATCTACGTCACACTGTCACTAACATTCATGGACTCACCCATCTTGACTCACGATGGGGAAGGCTGTTGTTGGTTTAGGGTCCGGGAAACCGAGAACGTCTCAGCTAGTAGAAGCTAACCATTAGCATTAGCAACTCCAACACACAGCAGAACCCCTTTAGCCTTGTGTTATTTGTGGAGATAAAACATCAACGTTGCAGAGCAGACAGAGTCTGTGGTAGAGTTGTGTTGCTGTTAGCCAATCAGAGGAGAGATGTCCAAATATCAGGAAATAAGACTCCACGTCCTGTTGTCTGAAGCTCAGCTCTGATCTGACTCACTTCTAGTTTCTGAAACAGGGGCACCGGAGCTTGTTTACCCAGAGTACAACTCACATTCTTACTAGAGACCACGGCTGATGTTCTGATTAAGTTTGTGATCCACACCTTTAACAACAAATAGGGAAATATTCTCCTTCGATTGTATGAAAAATAAAATAAATAATCTCGATCAAAATATAAAACTAGAAAAATGCGATTTTTCCAGTGAGACCTTCTCCTGTGTCCAGACAAAGATCCTGTTCCACAACCTGGCCTCTATGAAACTCTCCACCTGCAAACCAGAGGTTACAACATCACACCACTGAAATATAGTGAGAGTTTAACCTGATGATACATAAATCTACCACAGAATTTTCTCTGTTATGAACATAAACGGCCTCTCTCAGGCCCTCTGACTGCTGCATCTCCAGGTGTTTTATAATTACCTGCCTGTAAAAATACCCGCCAGAACAGATCTGTCTGTCCCTGTTGTCTTGATGATAAAATAACAAGACTCATGGAGGCAGACCTGGATCTGTGCTTCCTGTGTGCTCCTGATGCAGCTACACATATTATGTCAGGGACAACTACTCTAGCACGACACCTGTTCACGTAAACCAGATCAGTGAAATATTTTACCTCCTAGGGCCCTGTGTCCACACACATGGACACTGGCTCCTTGCACTTAAAAATGTTATTCTCTTCTACTTAGACCTTTTTGTTATTATATAGAAACTTTATATGACTTTGTTATGGAAAATTTATGTTTATTAATTCTTGATCATTGACTCAATCAACTGAATGTAAATGTATTGCTCTATGCCTCTTTGATCATGCTCACTCATTCAGAAACACCCACACATGCCACTCACACACACACTCTTGACTTCCCACACACAGATACAATCTCTCTCTCTCTCTCTCTCTCTCTCTCTCTCTCTCTCTCTCTCTCTCTCTCTCTCTCTCTTATTATAGTTGACTAATCTGTAATAGCTAGATATGTTTTTTCTTTTAAATCAAACCAAATACAAGTTTGGGTCCCAGGAGGTTAAAACAAGTTCAGTCCTGCGGCCCATTCTTACATTTCGTATTTTTGATCTAAGACTAAAAATGAAAATATAAAAATAAAATAAAAACATCTGCATCTGACTCAAAAACAAAGAACAAAAAAAATCTGTTTTTTGGTTTTGGATTGAAAGTAGAACAAATGATGCACGGATTCGTAATTGTCTCGTGTGTGGTGTAACATGCTTTTCCACATACTTCGTGATCAGTGACTCAGAGCAACAACATCAGTTCTCAGCATCATTTCCTTAGTCAACATTCATGTGTTTTACTTTTGACAGGTAGAAAAACGGGCCACTCTTGTGTTGGAACAGCATTTTCCCACAGTGAAACATCAGAAGTCCAAAGTCAAAGAGTGGACCAGGAGCTTCCTTTCCCTCTACCTGAAACAAAGGAAAGGCAGAAAAGCCTGTTACTGTTATGTCTAGGACCAGTTAAAGCACAGGAGGCTTTACTTCATTGAGCCTTTGTTTAAAATTTACTAAATAATGCCAACCCCTTTTCCTGTTCAGGAGAGCATTCCACATCCTGCTTCATCCCTCATACTCCTCCTATGGACTGGTCCCATCTGCCAGATGCTATCACAGCATCCATAAGGCTTGTCGTCAACCCCCCCCCCCCCCCCCCACACACACACACACATCCCCCCCGCACACACACACTTCTGGCCTAAAATCTTTGCCACAGTGCGGTCTCTGTGACTTACAGAGGGTCCTCTAAGAGGCAAAGAAGAAGCATCTTCATACTGTTTTACTTCTCTTTCAGCAGCCAAAGATGGTGATGCTTCTGGTGTGGCATTGTTCTCAAAAGTCTGACCCAGCAGGTCAACAGGAGCAGACTTCCTTTTTTTGGAGTAGGGTGCAGTCGCATCATCGTTGTCAGTTTCTCCAGCGCTGGGCTGCTCCAGAGGCACTTCTGCATCTGCAACATCCTTCAAAGCTGCAGCTTTTGCTGCTAGTTTGGAATATGTGTCTTGCTTTCCTTGGGGTGACAAGAAGAGCGGATGAAATGTGTAGAAGGTATTTTCCTCCACAGACTGATATCTCTTAGAAAGGTCTTGGTGGATGGCTCCCTCAATATCCTCAACTAGAGATGAATTTTCTCCAGTGCTGAGTGTCACGCAGCAGTAGGGTATGAAGTGGGGCAATCATGGAGATGGTGGGACACTTCTCCTCACACGTGGTGTTTGCTGCCACAAGCATGGGTTTGAGGGCTTCGCCCTCCCTCCCCTGAGCGCCCTGTGTCGGCTGCTGCTGTGACTCTGCTGCTGTCGGGGCAGATGGCTCCCCTAATGGCGTTTCCTTAACTTAGCTTTTCTGGCTCATCTGAACTCAGCCCAGTGTATTTTATTTTCTTTCTTATGTTGTGTGCGCACGTGTGTGTGTGTGTCAGCATGAGTGTAATGAGGGGGTATTGCTTTGAAAATTTTACATTCCTGGGGATGGGAGGGAATGTAGGTATGTGGGGTCATCTTAATTTGTAAAGCACTTTGAGTTGCATTTCCTGTATGAATTGTGCTGTATAAATAAAATTTATTATTATTATTATTAGGATTTGCTAGGGCTCATGCTAAAAGAGATAAAGACTACTGGGACTCTATGCTCTGGAGTAATGAGATAAAGATCACTGTTTTGGAACTAATGGTTTCAAAACTGTTTGGCATTGTAAATGTGTGAATTTCAAAGAGAATGGTGCCTACAGTGAAGCACGGTGGTGGCGGTGTCCTCATGTGGGGCTGCAGGAGTGCTGCTGGTGTTGGGAGCTGCATCTCATTGATGGTATCATGAACTCAACAATGTTCCGCTCTACACTGAAGGAGAAGATGCTGCCATCACTCTGTGCATGTGGTCGTCGTGCACTTTTCCAACACGACAACGATCCAGAACACACATCTAAAGCTGCGGCTGCATTTCTGAAGAAGAACAGGGTGTAGGTGATTTAATGACCAAGTCTGTCTCCTGATCTGAACCCAATCCAACACCTGTGGGGAATTCTGAAGCAGCAAGTAGAGCATCACTCTCCATCCAGCATCCAGGCTCTAGAAGAGGTTCTTCTTGAAGAATGGAAAAAGATAGATGTTGTAATATGTCGACAGCTTGTTCATTCCATGCCTAGAAGACTAGGCGCTGTCCTTGAAAATCACGGTGGTCGTACAAAATACTAGATGTAGTAGATTGTGTTGTGGGGTGTATGTGTTTTTGCTTCGGTCGGTTTTGGTAAAACTGAAGATTTTGTGATCGAAGGTATATTATTAACCTTAACGTCATGTTATGGAGTTAAAACATGTGTTCAATAAAACCAGCCTTGGGAAAATTCAGGAAATTGTTCTTTTGTTCATTGAACTACTGGTTTTTGATTGATTCATAAGGTTTGATACAAGACACTGTCCATGTTTTTTAAAGTGGGCATGAAGACGTAAAATAGAGTTATCGTTTTTTAAAGGTAAGTAGAAGACCTTTCACGTTACCATAACATTGTGCTCCACCATGTTCCAGGCACGGGGTCGCAGCATCAGTACCGGAGCTTGAGATATATGTGGAACACCTGTTTTCACAAACATAAAGATGAAATGATAATAACCATGTCTTATACTTTGATCCTCTTGTTTGATGCAAAGTTCCTGCACCAAAGTATCTGAAGGATCAAGATCAAACACTCACCAGGGAACTGGTTGTTCACTGCCTGAATGACGTTGTAAATTCCTGTGATCTGGTTGCGGAAGGTTGGGCAGTTTCCATCATCGAAGTCAACCTGGGAAAACCAAAGAGAAGGCTGACTGACTTTTCGGAGGATCTACATGGAAAGACAGCATTGGTCCACCAGTTAATCAGTTGACTGGCAGTTTTAGTTCTGAACGGTTCTTGTTCAGCTGTGTGAGGCTCATCAAATTTAGTACATAGATTATAAAATCAATGACCTAACGCATGACCTAAACATATGATCCAGACTTTATGTGACTATATGTGAATGTTACTGTAGGTCTGCAAGTTGATTTTTTCCAAGGTGGCTCCCAGTTACATCAGCATTTGATTTTTACTCTCTGTCTTGGATATTTGAAAAGTACTTTAAAAGGGTATAAAGTGGTTGTTGAAAAAGTTAACATTATAGTTAAAGCACTGTCACACCCAAAGGATTTAAATACAGAAACCACTTAGTTTCTGCCCTATTTTTACCCAAACACATTTGAAGATTCAGATTAATTTATTAATGACATCTCTCTTCTAGTGGTGTGCATCTCTACCTGCCTCACGATTCGATCTGATTCCGATTATCTGCCTAACGATTCGATTTGAGTCTGAAATGCGTCACGATTCTTCACACAAAAATTTTCATTACTTAATAAAAGCAGTAGAATAGTTTTCAATTTCTTTTTGATTTCGAATTCCCTGAAAAACAGAACATTCATCTATTCACTATAGTGAGCAATACTTTTTAAAGAGTGCTGCCTATAATTACTTAAATAATATAAGAAATAATGTTTTCGGTAGAGCAGCTTTGAGATAGAATATTACTGAACTTAAAAATAGTAAACAAATACAGTGTTAATTGATTCTTTCACATCCAGGATCCCAAAACCGAAATTAGCCCAGACATCCGATTTAAATGTAACAGGTACATCTTTGATTACTGGTAATGTTGGCCCTGTATCCCTGTCCGCCTTTTCTGTTTTAAATTGGCGCTAGGGCAACACAGCATGTCATTGCAACTCTGCCCCCAGAAGTAATTGTAATACCTCAAAACTTTATTGTCCTGCATAGACATAGACCAGGGGTCGGCAACCTGTTCCCATCAAAGAGCCATTATTACCCGTTTCCCACAGTAAAGAAAACACTGGGAGCCACAGCAGCCGCGGCGTTGTGGGTGGGGCCTACCCTCAGACAGCAGAGAGCTACTCACAACAGGTGACAGCAGCCAGTGCCGGTCGCTCGTGTACGTCAAAGTTATCTTTCATAAGAAGATAATCAATAAAATTATTTATATAAAGTGGATCCAGAAGTTGTAGCCCATCTCTGCCTACAATATTTTGATATTTTTCACCCTGTTGGTGGTTTTACTGAGCAGGTGCCACTTTTGTCATGCGTTTATTTTTAAAACATGTTTAGACTGTTCAGAATGCAAATACAGGCTCTGTCACATTTAATTGTTGTAATTAAACTTTGTTGGTGGGGAAGGTCAGAAAAGGATCCGATCAATTTGTTTTTCCCTCATTTACAATGACGGAGATAACGGCGCAGTGCGCCTGGCTCTGGTGGTAATCAAGTTAAATTATATCTCTTTGCAACAATTTTCACAAGAAAACAGAACAGTTAAAAGCAGGGCTTGTGTTGTGTTGACCGGCCAGTTCCCGTATTTGACCGTTTATTTTGACGGAGAAAGAATAGAAAGAATTACCCCGACGCATGCAGACGAACTGACACTTTATTCGTTTCGCGCAGATGTAGCTAAATCACTTAAGAAAAGATTCCCATCTGAACATCTGAGCTGGACACTGCTCAGTGCAGCTCGCTGTCAGCACGTACGTACGGCGCACAGCGAGCTGAAGATGTGGAGAGGGGCTTGGAGCACGTTGCAGAACCAGAGCGCATGCAGGAAGATTCCTCCGACTGAAGCGAGACTTGTCACTTAGAAAATGTTCCCTGATTATGAAACTTTGGCTGAATAGCACTTGTTCCTGTCTCCAATGTGGCGACACATCCAGGAGCTGAGGAGAATCCCAGAATCTGACATCCTCTTCAGCTCAGAAAGCACCAATATGATTACGCACAAGCGTGTGACGCGTCAACCCGGTCTCACAGTAAGACCGGGTTGGACCTGTTCAGGTTTACACAGACAATCTTCACATTTAGAATTGGCATACAGATGTAAAATTAATGCAGTAAAATATAAAGCATTTTATTTAAATATCCATTCATTATTTTACAAGCACAGAGAGCCGCATCAGATGGATGGAAGAGCCGCATGCGGCTCCAGAGCCGCGGTTGCCGACCCCCGACATAGACATAGGGAGAGAATCTCATCATGTCACGTTGCTGCATCGATGCGGAATCATGCATGGCTGAATCGCGATGCATCTTAGAATCGATCATTTTTCCCACCTCTACTGTCTTCTGATTGGCTAACACATGTATGATTTGTTCGCACGCCTCCGCGCGGCAAAATTTTGTCATTTTAACAACCACGCCCCTCCACCGCGCCTCCGCACGGCACAAACTTTCCGCACCGCGCACCTAGGAAATTTTCTAACCACGCGGACGGTCGGATGTGGAAAAACACGGCGGACTGGCAAGAACTAGTATGGCAGAGGTTCCTAAATACAGACATTTGTATGAGTCAGCTCTCAAAGATCACCGTGATCAACATGTTGTTAATGATTCTTGGAGAGAAATAGCTCGCACTGTCGGAAAAGACGAGGACGCTGTTAAAAATGCCGGAATGCCATGTTGTAAACAACAGTAATTTTTACTTCTACTATGGTGTAGTGTTGGATGCATGCCGTAGAGCTCCATGCTGCCCCATTCAGTTTGGGAGAATATTGGCTCACCACAGAGACAAGCCGCATGAACCATAAACGCTGCGAGTTGTGAAGCGCGTTCCATCCGCGAGCCACATCACCAAGCGGAAAGTGAATGCTTCAAGCATAAACCAAGCTTTAGCCTATGAAATGTTACTTGTGTAATGTATGTATGTTCTGATAGGTTTTTCTTATTTTTGAAGTGAAACTTTTCTTCCATGGTTAAAATAAAAATGTTCTACATACTTTTTGTCAGCCCCCCCGCGACACTACGTGGACAAAGCGGGTTCAGAAAATGGATGGATGGATACTTTTTGTGTTCACCAGAACAAGGGAGAATTGTGTCCCCATAAACCACCAGCAAGTCATAGTGGTTTCATAAACCACAAATGCGTGTGTGTGTGTGTGTGTGTGTGTGTGCGCGCGCGTGTGTGTGTGTGTGTGTGTGTGTGTGTGTGTGTGTGTGTGTGTGTGTGTGTGTGTGTGTGTGTGTGTGTGTGTGTGTGTGTGTGTGTGTGTGTGTGTGTGTGTGTGTGTGTGTGTGTAATGATTTGAATACCTGTATGCCCTGTGCTGAGGACTGGAGAGCTTTAATAAAGCGCAGAGCATCACATGGGGCCATGTCCCCAATATCTACATGCCTCTTCTGTAGCCTGGAAGGGACAGGAAGCACCCTCCAGGCTGGGTCAGCCCTTATGGGTGCAGTTTTTTCCAGGAAGTGTGGCAGCTCACCAGAGAGATCCGAGTGGGCTTTTCTGGACATTCGAAGTTGCAATATCTAAAGGAAAAAAATAGATGATTTGTCTCTCCAAGTCTTTATTGTTTTGGTTGTTTTTTTTTTGTTTTTGTTTTTTTTTTCAAAAGAGGCTTTCAGATGATTTACCTGGTCCACATCCTTATCAAATGTGGATATGAGCTCATGCAGGAAATTAAGTGAGCCAGTGGTGAAAAGTGCTGCATGTTGTGCTTCTAGGCCTGAGGGTGGTGGCAGGACCTCCATTCTGACTGCAACAGTTTACATTGTAGATATGGGATTTAACTAGGCAATAGGCATCAATATATCTATCTATATATTGCAAAAAAAAACAAACAAATAAAAAAAACAATACGAATCATTACAAGGAGTAATTACAGAGATCCATCTAACCCATTATTCATAAAAACAAAAACATTAAAATTCTATGACATAGTGGACTACAATATTTCAAAATTTATGTATATTGCAAACAAACAAAAAACCTTCCCAAAAATTTACTTAGAAGATTTATAAAAAGACAGAGTAAATATGAACTAAAAGGACATGAATTATTTACAATACCTAAGCATAGAATAATTATAAAGGAGCGCTGTGTCTCTATATATGGAGTTAAAGTATGGAATAAGCTAGGTAATGTAATCAAGGATGCAAAAACGATATTTACTTTCAAAAAACTTATTAAAAATGAAATACTGGAATCATATATGTGCAAATCAAATATATGTAAAAATAAATAAATAAATAAAGCTATAGAAGATGTGTGTAGGTATATTCATGTGTGTATGTATAAATATGTATGTATGTTTGTTTATGTGTACATGTAGTGGTGTGTAAATCTATACTGTATGTATATGTTTATATGAAGTATGTGTGTTCATATGGGCATGCAATGCACTTTAATGTATATATATGAATAGGTATATGTGCAAAAATCCTTTTGCTTTTTGAATTGTTGTTACTATTAATTTTCTCTTTCTTCTTTACAAATTGAACTCAAGTTAGCTAACTAGTTGAGCAATTACTTAAATAGGCTAATTTATAATTATTATTATTTCAGTGTAAAAATGTCATTTTAGTCAAAAAGGGGCAGATAACATAAGTTTACTTCTTTCTGTTCCCTTTTCATTTTCTTGGTTTGAGAAACCTCATTTTATTTGTTAGTATTGTTTTTTCTATTTTAATAATAAATGAAATAAGTAATTAAAAAAATTTAAAATGTGTTCATATACAAATATACATACATACATATATATACATGTATATATACACATATACATATATATATATATATATATATATATATATATATATATATATATATACACATATATACATATACATGTATATATATATATACACACATATATACTGCACATGTATATAGATAGATAGATAGATAGATAGATAGATAGATAGATAGATAGATAGATAGATAGATAGATAGATAGATAGATAGATAGATAGATAGATAGATAGATAGATAGATAGATAGATAGATAGATAGAGATGATATAGATATGTGCATATACACACATATACAGGTCCTTCTCAAAGAATTGGCATATTGTGATAAAGTTGATTAGTGTCTGTAATGTACTGATAAACATTAGACTTTCATATATATTAGATTCATTACAAACAACTGAAGTAGTTCAAGCCTTTTATTGTTTCTAATATTTATGATTTTGGCATACAGCTCATGAAAACCCCAAATAAAAAAAAAATTGCATATTTCATCCGACCAATAAAAGAAAAGTGTTTTTAATACAAAAAAGGTCAATCGTCAAATAATTATGTTCAGTTATGCACTCAATACTTGGTCGGGAATCCTTTTGCAGAAATGACTGCTTCAATGCGGCCTGGCATGGAGGCAATCAGCCTGTGGCACTGCTGAGGTGTTATGGAGGCCCAGGATGCTTCGATAGCAGCCTTAAGCTCATCCAGAGTGTTGGGTCTTGCGTCTCTCAACTTTCTCTTCACAACATCCCACAGATTCTCTATGGTGTTCAGGTCAGGAGAGTTGGCAGGCCAATTGAGCACAGTAATACCATGGTCAGTAAACCATTTACCAGTGGTTTTGGCACTGTGAGCAGGTGCCAGGTCGTGCTGAAAAATGAAATCTTCATCTCCGTAAAGGTTTGCAGCAGATGGAAGCATGAAGTGCTCCAAAATCTCCTGCTAGCTGCTAGCTGCATTGACCCTGCCCTTGATAAAACACAGTGGACCAACACCAGCAGCTGACATGGCACCCCAGACCATCACTGACTGTGGGTACTTGACACTGGACTTCAGGCATTTTGGCATTTCCCTCTGCCCAGTCTTCCTCCAGACTCTGGCACCTTGATTTCTGAATGACATGCAAAATTTGCTTTCATCCGAAACAAGTACTTTGGACCACTGAGCAACAGTCCAGTGCTGCTTCTCGGTAGCCCAGGTCAGGCGCTTCTGCCACTGTTTCTGGTTCAAAAGCGGCTTGACCTGGGGAATGCAGCACCTGTAGCCCATTTCCTGCACACGCCTGTAAATGGTTGCTCTGGATGTTTCTACTCCAGACTCAGTCCACTGCTCCCGCAGGTTCCCCAAGGTCTGGAATTGGTCCTTCTCCACAATCTTCCTCAGGGTCCGGTCACCTCTTTTAGTTGTGCAGCGTTTTCTGCCACACTTTTTCCTTCCCACAGACTTCCCACTGAGGTGCCTTGATACAGCACTCTGGGAACAGACTATCCGTTCAGAGATTTCATTCTGTGTCTTACCCTCTTGCTTGAGGGTGTCAATGATGGCCTTCTGGACAGCAGTCAGGTCAGCAGTCTTACCCATGATTGCAGTTTTGAGTAATGAACCAGGCTGGGAGTTTTTAAAAGCCTCAGGAATCTTTTGCAGGTGTTTAGAGTTAATTAGTTGATTCAGATGATTAGGTTAATAGCACGTTTAGAGAACCTTTTCATGATATGCTAATTCTTTGAGATAGGAATTTTGGGTTTTCATGAGCTGTATGCCAACATCATCAATATTAAAACAATAAGGCTTGAACTACTTCAGTTGTGTGTAATGAATATAATATATATGAAAGTCTAATATTTATCAGTACATTACAGAAAATAATTAACTTTATCACAATATGCTAATTTTTTGAGAAGTATAAGAATATATATATAAACACACACACACACACACACACACACAGCCTGGTTCAAACGGCAGGATAATCCTGTTGATTTTTGAGTAGTCCTGTCCATCAAAGATCTAAAAGTTGTGCACAATTATCATAATGGCTCTGAAGATCATAGCAGATCATCTTAAAGTGTGTGGTGTTATGAGAGTTCTGCTCTGCTCAAAAGCATGTCGGTACTAGTCTGATCATTAATCTGAGTTTTGGGTGTGATCTTCGGGATAAATGAACGTTTTGCCTGTGGATGGTGTAATGTAGCCAATGAGAAAGTGAGTTGATAGAAGCATGTAGCATGCTTCTCTTCAACCGTGTTTGTTTACTTCCAAGTCACATTATATGTTACATGTGAGTGAAGGTGGTCTGTTTGTATTGTGTAGCATTTGCCGAGTTACTGCACATCACACACTGTAGGACCTAAGTTGGTGTATCAGGGACTATAAAAATCTTGTCGTGGGAATCAAGCTTTAGATTTAAAATAACTAAGGGCTGTTCCCTAAATCCCAAAATCATTTCAAGGTCGGAAATCTTAAGGTGCGACAGACACCAGTCTACTATCTAGACCAGTAGAAGTCCAGTTGCCTTCATTTGAACCCTTTCGGATTACCATGACCTGGATGACTGAGAATCTTCACCAGCATCTAAACCAGTTTAGACACCAGCCAGCTATGTATATGACACCAGTCCGCTGCTTGACACCAGTAGAGACACCAGTAAATGGCTTGTATTTGATTATAGCACCTTCTAGAGTCCTACACCTCCCCAAAGCTCTTTACGACAAAATCAGTGATTCACCCACACACCCTCACATTCACATGCTGGTGGTGATGAGCCACACTGTAGCCTTTGCTGCCCCGAGGGTCACTGGTAGAAATTAGGCTGCCGAGCACTGGTGCCACTGGCCAACATTTTTAATCAGTACACCACCTGAGGTGTTATTTTGTGTGTTATAGTTACAGTTTTATCCATTTTTGTAAAGACGCAGCAACAACTTATCTCCACAGAAGACAGCGGTTCGGAAAATTCTTCTCCTGCAGACCCTCCCAACTGATTAAACTGATCAAATATAACAGAAAAACTCTGTTTAAACTTTATATTCAGCCTAACCCATTACTTTTAGCTGCATAATTAACATGTACAGAGAAACTTACCACAGCCGTGAAGGAAGTTCTGTTCACTCCAAAGATGTGGACTTTGAATGTTTACTCACTTCAGCTGCTGTTTGAACAGGAAGATGGTAAAGTTTAAAGTCCTAACTGTATGTTCTTTATGTCGATGTAAGAGTTATTTAACTATGGACCTTTTGACAGAACATTTACTAATGTAATGTGTGATTTATAAAAGCTCCTGTGATTTGAGCCTATTTAATTAAAAAATGTAGATCAAAAAGGGCCAAAAGCATCAAACATAGATCGACTGGCTGAACCAAAGGAGTGGGCATCCCAGCTATTTGTAACCTATTTTACATTAAAACTAATCTTGGAAATAAAAACAAAGAATATTATTTGACTTTTGTTTTGAAAGTTTCCAGCAGTTTTACACTGCTATCGTGTTTGACTTCCTGTCTGGTCCCATATCTGTTGAGCTCGATACGTTCTGGAATCGTAGCACATGAGAAAATAGACTTGCGGCATAAGCAATACGTCCCGACGCCCGATGGAAACACATGTATTCACTTTAACGGCGGCTAATTGCTGCACACTACGTTTCACAAAAGGCCCAGAAACTATGGACATTTAAAAGTTTCATAGAATTCAATGCCACGTTTATCTTTGAATAAAGACAGCTTGGACTGTCAAATGTACCTCAGTATGTCTTAAGCAAGGCACACACCTTAAATTTGCATGCCCCAACCCACGTCAGTGCCATCAACATATGAGCATACCTGTTTTATTTATCCAACAGACTTATTTAATGTTTGATGACATGTTCAACCTCTGAAAATAAATCTTGAAATCAAAAATAATCCTCTGAAATCCTTAAATCTCACTTAATAGTGCCAGAGAACATGAAGTGTAGACAGAAATAGTGATCTGTTTTATATTGATGAACATGGACTAAATTGTGATGGACATATTTGCCATATTTTCCAGCCCAACTCTGTTATCATTTTTAGTGAATGGTGGTGAATTTAAGGTTTGCTGCAATCTAAAACCGAATACAATGCAATGCGCGCATGCGCACAAGCTCTAATGAATCAATTTGTCTAATCTCTCATTTGTGATTTGACAAGTTTTTGCTCACACTCCTATCCAGAAGATGGCGGTAATTCACCATGAAGAGTTGCTAGCTGCATTAAACTAGCAGCAGAAGAAGTGGGTGACGTACTTCCTCCGTGCATGACTCAGTTAGTGACTGTTCTTCTCCTGCAGCGCAACGGCACGCGGAGCTTTAACGGCAAATACACTTTAATGAAACGCCATGGAAAACGAGGCGCAGATCCAGATCCAAGAGGCCATTAAGACCCAAGGAGAAGTGGTTCGGAAGTTAAAATCGGAGAAGGCCAGCAAGGAGCAGGTCAGTTTTCCGACGTGTTGGACCTGTAATGACGTCCTGACTAGTTTTCGCTAACCGGGTTTCTGTGGATTAAAACCACCAGGTAGATGCTAGCTTAGCACGAGACGTACGTCAGCTGTTCAGGCCCCAAGTACCTACTTGTTTCCGGTGTTAAGTCGATATGTGTTCCCCCCTCGAGATCTGTTTCTTTTGCACCCAGCAGCGAGTGGAAACGACCCAGTCACAAGAAACGACCCTCACCCTAACCATAACCACCCAGGCACCAAAAATGTATGTTTTGCATAAATAGTTTTTGAAAATATTATGTGTGTCACAATTTTTATGTTTCAGGGTTATGGTAAGGGTAAGGGTTAGGACCTTAGGACACATTTTTATTATTAGTTTTATTATTATATTAGTTTTTTATACTTATTCAGTATGCTTATGGATGTGTGTGTGTGTGTGTGTGTGTGTGTGGGGGGGGGGGGGGGGTGTATATATGTGTGTGTGTAAATGAACATGTGTGTGGGTATACATGTTCTTATGTGTTTTTAGGTATTTTTATTCTCATTTATTGTGGTTGTTGTATGTTTTTAGAGAGCGAACATCTACCGAAGACAAATTCCTTGTAAATGTAATTTTACTTGGCCAATAAATCTGAATCTGAATTTTTTGCGAGTGGATGGTTCAAACTCGCTGCTGGGTGCAAAAGAAACAGATCTCGAGGGGGGAACACATATCGACGTAACACCTGTGTACCAGCCGGCTAACGTTGGCGCGCCTTCATAAGGTTGCATTACCTTTACACGACCTGAAGGTTGTCATCATCAGTCAAGTGATTTCCGGGAGGACAGAACAAGCTCAGATCGGATCCCCAGAGTGTGGGACGTCGGTAGCCCCACCGTCACACACTCTCCTCGCTCACAGTTTTGGAGCACGTGCCATCTCCATTTACCATTCAGCTCAGAAGTTTACCAGCATCTGTTCCTTCATTTAACCTTCAAAGCAGGTGTAAATACATGATGTCATAACTAATTATACCCAGGATGGAACTGCTCTTGCATCAGGCGAACAGAAAGGTCAGAGGACCAAAACTCCCTCCAGTCTGCTCAGCAGTCAGACCCGAAGGCTTTCAGGATGCTCTCATGTTTATCATCTGAACATTGATGCTGTTTTACTTTAGTCTCAGCTCCGTTTTCTTTGTTAGCAAAGGCCATTTCCTGCATTTCAAGCTGCAACACGGATGAGGACGTTTGATGTTTGTGACGTGTTGCTTTTGATCTTATGGGCCTTTTACACTCGGGTCGAGTCGGTCTGGGTTGGGCGGGGTCACTGTCTACATCGGAGTTGGCTGTTTGTTGTTCGTGCAGAGCTGGCTTCTTTTGTCAGCCTGCTTTCCGCAGTTGTTGTGCTGAGCCCACCACACACACACACACACACACACACACACACACACACACACACACACTCACACACACTCACACTCACACTCACACTCACACACACACACACACACACACACACACACACACACCTATAGACTGACTGGCCAGCAGGAGTTATGCCACTCTCGTGCCTACCTCCTTGTGGGGGCTTCTTCTTTCTACATGTGCGAGTCATTAGGAGTCGGGATGCTGCGGGTAAACATCCTTTCTGACTGCGGCTCGAACCGGCCGCAGGAGAAAGAAGACTGTCCGTCTGCTGTGAGCGCTCTTAGATGGGAGAGGGGTCCACGGCAGCCTGGCTGTCCCCACCCGACCCAGGCTGAGCAGCTTTAAGGGCCGGTGCTTTAGAAATGACTGGACTGAGTTCAGACATTCTGAGATTGAGCATCATAATAATAATAATAATGCATAGGCTCTCTGGAGCACTTTTAACAGGAGGCAAGACAAATGAACAAAGTGAGAACAGGTTAATGTGACTTAGTTAACTAGGTGAGTCTTTAGGAGCTGACCCTAATTTAGCAGGTGGCTCTACCAGAACCAGTATGGTAAACGTGTCTAGTATTTAAATAAAGGATGTGTGCAAAACCGTGACTTTTAACAGCAATCTTTGTCTAAATAAAACACAAATGCAAGAAAAACAAACTTAGCATTGTAGTTGGTCTGTTTTCCTCAATTACAACAAAACCCACAGCAAACACTATTTGTCTATGCTTCCCTCACATGAGCCCCCTTCAGACAGGCCATGAAAAACGGAACTGTTCCGGACTCTGTCCGTAAGACGTTTGTGTCTGAATACAAACATCCGGATAACGTTTTCCGGAATTTAACCGGACGAAGCCCCTAGTAACAGGTCCGGA